TAATTCGTAATTTAGATAAGATCGTTAGGATTTTCAGAGATGTAGTCAAGCGAGCCAAGTCTTGATTCGTAATATAAATTCAGATTTCGGATCAAAAAAATTCACCATATTCATATTCTCAACCACATATTTTAAAATTCTATTTCTATATACTGTATATATTTTGGCCAGTTTTGCAATCGATCGCGGATTTAAAAAAAAATACTTATTGTTGGTCCGATTGTTAACCGATTGTCATACACGTGCCCACTATAGGGATTTAATCCTGAACGTTACCTTACATTTATTTGTACACTACATAAATGATCATTAGTATAGCAGTTTATTGAACTTAATTACTTGGAAAAACAGTTACGATAATTTTGGCCGAATTACTTAGAAAAACTTTGTGACTTATAAATCGTTTCCTTAAATTAATAGTAAATAATCAGAGTTTCATTTTTTTTTTTTTTTTAGAAAAAAAGTAGGTCAAATGTCAAAAATCTTACAAAGAATTTGAACTGTAAGTAATTTAAGTAATTTTAAATATAACTTCGTATCCATTTCGAATTTACTAAATTATTTAGAAAATATAAATAATTTATTATTGTTTTTTTTAAGATCAAATGTTTTGTAAATCTATTATTCTAAAATTCCAAAAACGAACCTGATTTGATTATTCCTTATTAGGGAAATTTATCATTTGATAGGTTAATTGAATAGTTTACAAAAACGCAAGATTTATTAAATCGCATTTTTAAATGTCACTGGAGCAGATTTTATCGAAAAACGAACATTTTATTTTTCTATAAATAACAGATATTGAATTTTTTTTTTTTCGAACTTTACGTTAATTTTAATAATTAAACAAAAAAAAAAAAAAAATAATAATTAGACGATTAAATAAAATATGATATTTAAAACGCCATTCCATATTATTTTCTTAATTTTAACTTTACTAATAACCATTACATATCAAGAATATCGTTCTGTAACTGGCGAAGGTAATAAAAAGGATGAACCATTAATTGGTATTTCAAACACTCCATTCGCCAGAAAATTTCCATCAGTGCCTAATTTCGCAGATGTGAATTATAATTTGATTCCCACACCAGGAAATTATAAAGCTATTGATACAGGTGCACTTACTTCTTGTAGTGCTAAATTACCTGTTGGCACATTTCCTTTGCCTAGGTGTGTTAGTAATAAAATAATGTCTATGCAATTAATTGATGATGACATGTTCGATATAAAACGTTTGGATAAATTCAAAAGCAAACGGAAAATTTCTCATATTGTAAGTGTGTTTTGTGTTGGAAAGAACGATTTCACGTGATGTGAGTTTACTGCGGTACATTAACGTCCTAACGTTTTTTTTATGAAAAATAAGTTGACATATTGGGGATTCTTCGTAAAGATGGATGTTAGTTCTGGATTGGATAAAGGAGATATCTATCAATCTGGCATTTATATTCCTCAGGACGACTTATCATACATGTCTAGTTATAGGAACGGTCCAAAACCAGCAAATTTTACTTTTGCTGCGGTAAGTGTAAAATATTTATTAACGTCGTTATAATAATAAGAATTAATGCATAATAACTACAATAAATATTTTTTTTATAGAAATCTTTACCGTTTAATCGTTCAAAATTAGAAGGTGGTTATACAGGAATAAATGAGGCTACCTCATTTATTGACGCGTCTACAATTTATGGTAACAATGATACTGATTTGCTACGAGTTAGAGATTATGGCAATAATGGGAAAATGATTTTGGAAAAGGTTCCCGGTGATGAATTTGGATTTCCATTAGTTGACGAGAACGGAGGGTTCGTATTAGGGTATAGCGCAGATTTTAGAAATGTTTTTACAGATTTGTTTCACGTAATTCTCCTACGTGAACATAATCGATTGTGTGATGAATTTTTTGCCATTCATGGAAATGATTGGAACGATGAAAAATATTTTCAGGAAGCTAGAAGATGGGTTATCGCTTTTATTCAAAAAATTACTTATTATGAATATCGTAAGTTAAATCATGATTTTTAAAAACATGTTATATTGTCATTGATTTATGATATGATTTATGATATATAAATTTCATAGTCGGAACTGTAATGGGAATTCCTTTGCCCAAATATGAGGGATATAAACCTGACCTTAAACCGGAAATCGATACTTTCTTTGCTACCGTAACTTATCGTTATGGTCATTCCGAGATCAGGTAAAAACGAATTAAATAGATTATATTATTTTATATTATAATATCATATTAAAATAATTCTAACTCTATATATTAGCGATTTTTATGACATCGTAAATAATCAAGGAGAACAGATTACAACATTGGCATTGAATGATGTACAAGCACCTGGACTATTAAAAATCATTGGAGTTCCATCAATTGCTCTCTCGTTGGCACTTCAAAGGTATTTTTCATAGTTAAAATTTGTGTTTTTTGCTTTGAAATATCATTAATCATCTGACTTCATTTAACATTTTATAGACAAGAAGAAGTTGATATCTATTTCTCTGATTTTATGTAAGATTTATTTATGAAAAATTTTATTTATATAATCACATTTATATAACTCTCTTCATTAATCTATTTAGGCGAAGTTATATTCACCGATCAGTAGAACATATGGATATTGCCAGGTAAAGTTAGTTATTATTGTATTTTCAAAAGTATTTGGATTCCTTTTAATTCTATGTATTTTGTATTCTTTAGTCTTGATACAGTTCGAAGTAGAGATCGTGGTATTCCTTTTTATAATGATGCAAGAGTAGCATTTGGTTTACCAAAAAAATCATCTTGGGCAGATATCTCGAGCGATCCTGATGTGCAAAAAAGATTGGAAGATACCTATGGAACCGTAAATCGAATTGAAGCATTAATGGGTGGATTGGCCGAAGATCACGTGAATGGAGGAAATTACGGAGAGTTGTTTTATAAAAGCTTTTCAGAACAATGGATAAATATTAGAGATTCGGATAGATTTTGGTATGAAAATAAAGATGCGGGGTTCAGTAAAGAAGATATAGCAAAAATTCAAACAACAACTTTATTAGATATTTTAACAAGGAACACTCCAAAATCATCATTATACCCGCAAAATCTTTGGTTTGTACAGCCACCAGCTTCATTAAAAATACCAGAAGATAATGCTGCTTATAAGGATGCTTTACCACTTGCTGATGGATTTGTTATTCAATGGAAAATAGATGGCTCTGACATTACTTTCTTGATTACATTGAGTAGTACAAATTCATGGTTTGGAATAGGATTTAATCCTGAGGGTGATGCTATGTCAGGAACCGACATGATGATATTTCAAAATCAAAAGAAAGAAGGTTCTAATGAAATTACCGTCACTGGAAAGAATTACAAGGGTATTGGACTTGCGATTAAACCTAAAGAGTTACCTGATAATGATCAAATTTTGACATTATTAAGCGCAACAAGAGTTGTGGATGGAATGACTCAAGTTGAAGTCAAGCGACCTTTAATTGCTGAAAATCGAAAATCTATCGATGGTACTATTCAAAGTATGTAAAAAAAAGAAGAGGATGTGATTGTTAAAATAATATGTTTATGAAGTATAATAACACGTATTTTATGGATTTTTTAGTGGTTTATGCTTGGAATCCTAATTCGAATGAAATAACTTATCATGGTGGAAATCGTGGTAAAAGAGAAGTAAATTTCCGAAGCGGTTTAAGCTCAAATCTTGCAGATGGTAGAATGAAATTATTAATGATGCATGGAATTGTTATGTTTATTATTTGGGGAGTTTTACTCCCATGTAAGTATAAAATCACATTTATCTGTGTTTTATTTTTATCTTACTTTTTTTTACAAAGTTTTTATAATTCTGAATTTTAACCCAGGTTCGGTATGGATAGTCAGATATTTAAGACATATCGATAGCTATATGGTACAGCATCGAAATTTAAATTTATTTGGCGGAATGGTAGTAGGAATATTTGGCGCAGTAGCCATGTCAATAACAACTACACACGCAAAAAGTCCTCATGCAATGTAAGCAAATTTTGTTTAACCTTTATTTGGAAGAATTGAATCCATAAATTCTCACCTTTTTTTTTAATCTAATAGCCTGGGCATAATAATATTTACTTTCACAGTAATACAAATTTCTTTGGGTATAATGGCGATTTGGGGATTGGCTAATGTTGAATCTGCAGCTACGGGAATTGTTCGTAATTTAAAGCATTTACATTTTTATTTGGGAGGTGCACTGCTTTTAACTGCATGGTACGTATTTCATATTTACTAAAACAAAAAGAAAAAAGCAAGGAAAAAAATATTTGACACATTTTAATTTAATATATTTTTGTTCATATAGGGTTAATATATTCTTAGGCTTGAGTGTTTATGGAGCGAATAAGGCATTCATTTGGGCTTATTTAGTTTGGTTGGGTAAGTATTATTGATAAAAAAAAAGACTTTTTATTAGTAATAATTTATTAATTTTTAAAAAAAAAAATTTACGCGTAATAGTTTTTATTGGATTTGCGATAACCGCAAGTGAATTTTATTATAAAATCAAGAATATGCAATTCTTGTGGCCTGTAAGGTTTACGGAAGATTCGACAAAACGGATTCATAATTGTATCCCTGAAGATATTTTTGAAAATTTACCTGTCATTACTTGGGATGTATGTAACAAAATAGCTTTTTTTCTTTAGAAAAAAAAAAAAAAATTTAATTAAATTTTTTTTTTACTTGTTTTATAGGAATTTAATAACAGAGTTATGACGGGAGCCAATTTAGTTATAGCAGAGGGATTAGTATTTGATATACATCGATGGATTCCTGTGCATCCGGGAGGACAAAGAATATTAAGAAGAGTAGTTGGAACTGATATTACACAAGATTTTTTCTTCGATCCTACAGATCAAATAGTTATCAACACTGACGTTAAAGTTGAATATAGCGATGTTCAACAACCCAGTATCTCCGCATTGACGGATAATACATATAAAGAAAAATCGAAATACGATTCTAAAAAGGAGAAGGAAAGACCTCGTAGCGTAGCAAATGTTGTTGACATGGTTAATGCCAAAACATATAAGGATCGTAGAGTTGCGATGCATCGTCATTCAAAATTTGCTACGTCTAAATTAGCTAGCATGGTAATCGCCAGGTTAAGAGACGCGGAAGTTACAAATACAACTAAACCACAACAGATGAAAAATTTTGAAACAAATAACGAAAAGGCAACACAACCAATACCTAGTTCTCATATTTTCCGAAGATATATATTAACCAATATTGAAGTTGTAACTAGACACAATGCTACAAATCCTGTTAAAAAATTGACGTTTCAAGTTATACATCAAAAAGACAGATTACCAAGATTTCTTCCTGGTGATTATATTGAAATCATGAGTTTTGCTAATAATCAAGTGATTACCAGACTATATACTCCAATTCAGGGACCAACTGACAATAGTTTTTGTATATTGGTTAAAATATACAAAGATGGTATTATGTCTCAACATTTAGTAAGTTTATCAATTTTTTTTTTTTTTTGAAAAAAAAAATATATATCTAAATATACATGTATATATTAATCACTTTTTTTTTCTTTTGTAACATAGAATAAACAATTAAAAAATTTTGAGATTAAGGTGAGGGGACCATTTGATATAGCAAATCGAATGGTGCTACCATTTTTGGACACATCCCCTATTACTAGATCTTCATCACCCTCGGCATTTCACGCAACATTTGGTGACACGAACAAAACTCTTAGTGTTTACGATATGAGACGGTCACACAGTGTCGCTACATATTTACAACAGAATGGTATATATAATAGTGATTTTGGTAGTCAATTTAATAGTATGCTTGAAGGTAGAAGTGGGATAATATTAAATAAGGAAAGAAAAGATTTATGTTGGGATTCTTTGTTTATGATTTGTTGTGGTACTGGAATTGCTCCAATGTTGCAATTGGTACGTTATCAAATCACTTTCTTCTCTCTCTCTCTCTCTCTTTTTTTTTTAAAAAACTTTTTAATTTTTCTTTAATTTGATTTTATAAGATACAATATCATATGGATAAAGCGGCATCTTCCAATTCCGATTTCAACTTATTTTTATTAATAGCAAATGGTACAATAGCAGATTTAATATATCCAAAATATTTAGACTATATATGTCAAGTACTTAAGGGGAAACTTAAAATTACTTATATTTTATCAAATCCTCCACAAATTTGGAAAGGACTCAGCGGAACAATTGATGATACAAAATTATATGATTGGATTATTCAAAATTATTCCGTGCCTCCACCTGCAATTCCACCAAGATTTAACGGCGAAGGTAATGTTCCTGACTATAGCCCCACCTGTGAAACATTTGACGAACGTATAAATGATCCTGATCAAATGTATAACCAACATTATTCAAATAATACTGCTCCGGTCAGAAATAGTCAACAAACGAACGAAATGATGTTAATGAGTGAAAGACAAAATTATATGAGATTATTTGCTATGAATAATACTAAAGGAGTTAAAGTAGTTGTTTGTGGTACCGATCAATTTAATGAGAGCATTAGAAAATCCTTGGAAAGGTTATGTTTTCCTATTGATGAAAAAGCTTTATTCTTGAATTAAAATAATTTATAAGATTATATATGATTTTACAAAATAATAATTATAAATTCGTTAATAGAGTTATTTACTTTAAGTCAAAATAATATTTTAATAAAGAGCAATTAAATTATATTGTTAAAACAGAAAAAAAATTCATAAATTTGAAAAATTGCATCTTAACCTTTACGTAATATGATTTTGCTTACCTAAGCATAATCTAGTTAGTATTTTCCTCAAAGAATTGTATCCAAGTGCCAAAATAAAACAAATGTGAAAAGTTTTCAAATAAAACAGAATTCTCCCATCATTACAACCGGATGAAAGTCAATGAAAATGATTCTTGTTGGCTTACAGGAACGATAAGAAAAATGACGTGCGATACTATATAGTCGGAGTTCGGAGTTACTTCTTATTAAGGAATTGCATTACCAGTTTTTTTATTTAAAAATTATTTAATATGAATTCATTTATTTTAATTTACATATGTCATCAGGTCGCGCACCATCGATTTAATTCTTTCTTTTGATAATCTAACAAGTTTATCTTGCATAGTATCAAAATTCCAAAAATAAAAAAATAAAGAAATGATTTAAATGATTTGATTATCTTAAAAAATGTAATTTTAATCCTTCATTAAATTTTAATACCGTAGAAGTTTTTTTTTTTTTTAAAAAAAAAAAAAAAATTTAATAAATATGACGTGTGCAAATAACCCGTTCAAATTTCTATTCCATGTTATTTTCACAATTCTTTTTTTACTCGTAAACATTACATATCAGGAGTATCGTTCTTTAAATGGAGAAGGAAATAACAGAAATGATCCTTTAGCTGGTGTTATGAAAACTCCCTTCGCGAGAAATGTTCCATCAATGTCTAACTTCGCGGATGAAAATTTTAGTATGATTCCCACACCAGGAAATTATACTACCAATGTCCCAAATGCATTCCTTGCTTGTAATGCTACATTACCCGACGGCATATTTCCTTTGCCTAGATGTGTTAGTAATAAATTAATGTCTATGCAAATGAATGAAGATGATATATTCGATCTAACACGTTTGGAGAAGTTCAAAAGTAAACGGGATATTTCTCATGTCGTAAGTATTCAAAATTACGGTGGCGCAGAATGGTTCTTACTGCGGTACATTATTAAGTAATTTAATTTAATTTTTTTTTCTTTTAAAATATTTTCTAAATGAAAAAATAAAGTTAACATTTTGGGGATTTTTCATGATAATGGACGTCAGTGCTGGATCAAAATTGGGAGAAAATTATCCAACAGGGATTTATATTCCTCAGGGCGATATATCGTATTTATCTAGCTATAGGAACGGTCCAAAACCAGCAAACTTTACTTTTGCTAATGTAAGTGTAAAATATTTATTATCGTAGTTATAATAAGAATCATTACATAATATCTGATATAATATGTTATAGGAATCGTTACCGTTTAATCGATCAGAACAAGGAGGTGGACAAACAGGAATAAATAAAGTCACTTCATTTGTTGACGCGTCTACAATTTATGGTAACAATGCTGATGATTTGCAACGAATTAGAGATTATGGTAATAACGGGAAAATGCGGTTAGAAATAGATAATTCAACGCCCGATGGGGAGTTAGGATATCCATATGTTGATGAGAATGGAGGATACATATTGGGATATCATGTAAAATTTAGAAACGTTTTTACAGATTTGTTTCACGTAATTCTCCTACGTGAACATAATCGATTGTGTGATGAATTTTTTGCCATTCATGGAAATGATTGGGACGATGAACAATATTTTCAGGAAGCTAGAAGATGGGTTATCGCTTTTATTCAAAGAATAAATTATTATGAATATCGTAAGTTAAATCATGATTTTTAAAACATGTTATATTGCCGTTGATTTATAATTTATAAATCTCATAGTCGGAACTGCATTGGGAATTCCTTTGCCAAAATATGAGGGATATAAACCAGATCTTAAACCGGAGATCGATACTTTCTTTGCTACCGTAACTTATCGTTATGGTCATTCCGAAGTTAGGTAAAACCAAAATGTGATCAAATATTGTATTTATATTATTATATCATAAATCTCACCCTTTATAAATTTAGCAATTTTTATGATATTGTAAATTATCAAGGAAAGCCGCTTGCAACTTTGCCATTGAATGATTTACAAGTGCCTGGATTATTAAAAACCTTTGGAATTCCATCAATTGCTCTCTCGATGGCACTTCAAAGGTATTTATCGGTTATAACTTTGTGCTTTTGCTTTAGTCATCTATCTAAATTTAAACATTTATAGACAAGAAGAAGTCGATATCTACTACTCTGATTTTATGTAAGCTTGATTTTGCAAAATTATATTTACGTATATAATCACATTTATGTAACTTTTTCTTGATTTATTTAGGCGAAGTGTTACTTACAGGGCAGTAGAACAATTAGATATTGCCAGGTAAAGATAGTTATAACTGTATATTACAAAGTATTTAGATTTCTTTTAATTCCTATGTACTTTGTATTCTTTAGTTGTGATATTGTACGAAGTAGAGATCATGGTATTCCATTATACAATGATGCAAGAGTAGCATTTGGTTTACCAAAAAAAACATCTTGGGCAGATATTTCGAGCGATCCTGATGTGCAAAAAAGATTGGAAGATACCTATGGATCCGTAGATCGAATTGAAGCATTAATGGGTGGATTGGCAGAAGATCATATTAATGGAGGAAATTTGGGAGAATTGTTTTATAAAAGCTTTTCAGAACAGTGGATTAAAATTAGAGATTCAGACAGATTTTGGTTTGAAAATAAAGATGCGGGTTTCAGTAAAGAAGATATAGCAAAAATTCAAAATACAACCTTATTAACTATTTTAATGAGGAATTCCCCAAAATCATCATTATATCCGCAAAATCTATGGTCTGTGCAACCAACAAGTTCATTAAAGATGCCTGAAGACAGTAAAACTTATAATGATACCATAACACTTTCTGATGGATTTATTCTTAAATGGAAAATAGATGGTTCTGACATTACTTTCTTGATTACATTGGGTAGTACAAATTCATGGTTTGGAATAGGATTTAATCCTGGGGGTGATGCTATGTCAGGAACCGACATGATGATATTTCAAAATCAAGAAAAAGAAGGTTCTAATGAAATTACCGTCACTGGAAAGAATTACAAAGGCATTGGAATTGGGATTAAACCTCAGGAATTACCTAACGATCAAATTATAACAATATTGGGTGAAACAAAAGTTGCGAATGGAATGACTCAAGTTGAAGTTAAGCGACCTTTAAATGCTAAAAATCGAAAATCTATCGATGATACTATTCAAAGTATGTAAAGAAAAAGAGGGGTGTGTTGATTGTTAAAATAATATATTTATAAAGTATATATGGATTATTAGTGGTTTATGCTTGGAATCCTAATTCGAATGAAATAACTTATCATGGTGGAAATCGTGGTAAGAGAGAAGTAAATTTCCGGAGCGGTATGAGCTCAGCTCTAGACGGTAGAATGAGATTATTAATGATGCATGGAATTGTTATGTTTACTATTTGGGGAGTTTTATTTCCAAGTAAGAATGATGTAACACTATTTTTTTTTTTTTTTTTACACTTTTTACAAATTTTTATTATTCTAAATTTAATTCAGGTTCGGTATGGATAGTCAGATATTTAAGGCATATCGATAGCTATATGGTTCAGCATCAAAATTTAAATTTATTTGGAGGATTAATTATAGGAATGTTTGCCACTGTAGCCATGTCAGTAACAACTACACACGCAGCAAGTACGCACGCAAAGTAAGCAAATTTCTTTATCATGAAGAAATTAATCCACATTCTAAACTTTTTTTTTCTTAACAATATTATAGAATAGGCTTAACTATATTTACTATAACAATAATACAAATTTCTTTGGGCATAATGGCGATTTGGGGATTGGCTAATGTTGAATCTGCAGCTACGGGAATTGTTCGTAATTTAAAGCATTTACATTTTTATTTGGGAGGTGCACTGCTTTTAACTGCATGGTACGTATTTTCATATTTACTAAAACAATCAAAAAAATCTTTTTTAATTGATACCTTTTATTTTTGTTCATATAGGGTTAATATATTCTTTGGCATGATTCAATATAATGCGAATAAAGCATTCATTTGGGCTTATGTAGTTTGGTTGAGTAAGTAATTATAAATGAAAAACTTTTTATAAATTTGCGGTACTAATAATTATTTTTTAAACATTTAAAAAAAAAAAATTTATACGCATAATAGTTTGTTTTGGATTTGTGATAACCGCAAGCGAATTTTATTATAAAATCAAGAATATGCAATTTTTGTGGCCGACAGTAGGCACAAATGATGGAACAAACCGGCTTCAAAAGTGTATTCCTAATGTAGTTTATATGAATTTACCTGTCGTTACTTGGGATGTATGTAATGAATATACAAAAGTTTTTATCTTTCTTTTTTTTATAAAAAAAAAAAAAAGAAATTAATTTTTTATTTGTAATTAATTTATAGGAATTTAATAAAAGAGTTATGGCGGGAGCAAATTTAGTCATAGCAGAGGAATTAGTATTTGATATACATAAATGGATTCCTATACATCCAGGAGGACAAAGGATATTAAAAAGAGTAGTTGGTACAGATATTACACGAGATTTTTTCTTTGATCCAGCGGATCAAATAGTTATTATGAATAACTCTAATGATTATGATGTACAACGACCTAGTATCTCGGTATTAACGGACAATGCATATGGAAGAATGGAATATGATACAGGAAAGAAAAGACCTCATAGTGTAGCAAATGCTGTTGATATGATTAATGCTACAACATTTAAGGATCGTAGAGTTGCGATGTATCGTCATTCAAAATTTGCTACGTCTAAATTAGCTAGTATGGTAGTTGCCAGGATAGAACAAGAATCTAAACAAGCAGAAATACCGCTACATTGTAATATTTTCCGAAGATATATTTTAACCAATATTGAAACTGTAACTAAACACAATGCCAAAAACCCTGTTAAAAAATTCACATTTCAGGTTTTACATCCAGACGAGAAATTACCGAGATTCTTTCCTGGTGATTATATTGAAATCATGAGTTTTGTTAATACTCAAGTGATTACTAGACTATATACTCCAATTCAAGCAACTGATAATAGTTTTTATATATTGGTTAAAATATACAAAGATGGCATTATGTCTCAACATTTAGTAAGTAAATTTAAATCGTTACCATATATATTATAAAATGTTAGATTAATTATTTTTGTCTTCTTATATTTGTATTTATAGAATAAGCAATTAAAAAATTTTGAAATCAAAGTGAGAGGACCATTTGATATAGCGGATCGAATATTACAATTATCATCGCCAGCTTTAAAACCGGTTTCGAGACTATCATCACCAGGTTTACCAGCTCAATCATCTTCTAGCGATCATTTTTCACGGCATAAGAATAAAAACCGTAATTTAAATTATTTACCTGACGGTAGAAGTGGAATATTATTAAATATGGAAAGAGAAGATTTCTGTTGTGATTATTTGTTTATGGTCTGTGGTGGTACTGGGATCACTCCAATGTTACAACTGGTAAGAAGTTCAAATTTTAAAGCATTAAATATTATTTCAATTATTAGTTTGTTTATTTAATATTTTAATTTAAAGATACAATATCATATGGAGAAAGCGGCCACTTTAGATTCCAATTTCAAATTATTTTTATTAGTAGCAAATGATACAATAGCTGACCTAATATATCCGAAATATTTGGATAATTTAGTTCAAGTACTTGAAGGAAAACTTAAAATTACTTATATTTTATTAAAACCACCACGATTTTGGAATGATTTAAGTGGATTAATTGATGATACAATATTATATGATTGGATTAGTCAAAATTATTCTGTGCCACCTCCTGCAATTCCACCAAGATTATATTACTGTGAAAGCGATACTGCTGATATTGAAAATGATAACTATATAACGACATCATCATCACCATTATACACAATTAATGAGATGAATAATTATATGAGACAATTTACCATGGATGATTCTAAACAGGTTAAATTAGTTGCTTGTGGTACTAATCAATTTAATGATAATATTCGAAGATCCTTGGAAAAGTTAGGGTTTCCTATTGAAGAAAAGGCTATTTTTCTTAATTAAAAATAGAAATTTGATTACTTTTCTATTATTTTTAAAATAATTATTTTTACAAAACATTAAAATAATAAAATATTGTATATATAATAAATTTTTATTATAAATTACTTCAATCTCATAAATAAAATAATAATTTTTATAAATATAAATTAATAAATATGATTATATATACAGTATATATATAAATTATAAGTAATATAATTAGCAGATTTATCAGAAAAAAATATCATTCTTTTGATATTAATTTAAAAAGTTTTATTTTATATAATTTTGATTTTATTAAAAATTAACTAATGCTAAAATAAAGATTTTAGAATAAAATTTACTAATTATATATATAGAATTAGAAATTTTATATGTATTAGATAAATTAACGTTATATTTATATCATACTTATATTATACTTGACTAAATTTTTATATTAATTAATATAATATATTGGTTGCATTAATTGTATTAATTGTTATTATATTTGTTTTAATCTTAAATATACAAATATTTCTTAATTATATTATAAAATCAATTTTAAATATGTACTAGAAAACAGGAATCATTATCAAATTCAGAATTATTTTAACTAAAAAATATTGTAAAAGCCAATTAGTATTAATTCAATTATTAAATAAATAGATAACAAAACATCTTGTATAATATGTAAATAGTATATTAGAATCCTTCGCTTCATTTTAGACTAATTATTTATATTAAAAAAATTATAATTTATTGTATATGTAATATAACATTAGTCCTTGTTTATTATATAATTTAACCATATAATATAATATTTTGAATAAAAATGATTTAACTAATTGATTATCATATCATTAACTTTCTCATACTTTTTTAATAAAATTCTCTTTCTTTCATTTTTCTTTAACATTTCAAAATAATAATTATAATAACCTCACTTTCATTAGTTTTTTAACCTTTATTTTTATTATATTAACTTACTTTATTAATAATCTTTTTTATTTACTATAAATTTTAGTATAAATTATATAAATAAATATAATTTTATTAATATTATTAACTCTTTAGAAGTTATAACTATTACTAATTTATTTTCTTTAATTATTTTATTATATTAGATTTAGCATTAAGTTAATATTTATATTATAATTAGAGTTTATATTTAAATTAGAATTTAGATTTAAAATTAGAGTTATTATAATTATAAATAAATTTCTGAAAGGAAATTTAAACTATAAGGCTAAGATGAAAATGAGAATATAATGACAGCTATACTAAAATTATAGAAACAGATTATTTATTTAGCAATGTAAGCTGCTAAAATATTTTTAATTTTTTTTGCTTTATATTTATAAAAGAATTTGATCTTTTTTTTCTAGTTCTTTATTAATTTACCTATAAGAAATTTGATTTTTCTTTTCTTAAAACTATTAAACTTAAATGAAAAAATCAGTAACATTACAAAAAATGTAGAAAACTAATCATTATCAAGAAAACTGTTAGTTACAACTTTTTTTATATGTATTATTTTTTAATATATATTTCATTATCTATATTAAGAATAAAATATACAATAATTAGTACTATAATATTTAGCAAAATTATATTAATAAAATATGTTATATTAATAAATAACTTATATAATAAATTTATTTAATAAAATTATTGAATAAAGAATTAATTATATATAAATTTATTTATCATATAATATTAGAGATTAACAATAAAATGCTAATGATAATAAATTATAAAATTCTTTTAATAAAATATATTTATCTTTAAAATATTATGGTCCAGTGCAAAAAGATTGATATACAAAAATCATCACCTGATTTTCTTGTGTTACACAAAACTTCACAAACTGAATATATGATTATATAAATTACAGATAAGGTAAGGATAGTTCTAAACTTTAAAATAAAATAAAAATTTAACTGCCTTTCTTTTCAAATGGACAACTTAAAATGAGACCAAAGTTACCTAAATAGTAACGAAAAAAAGATGGTCATTCATATCCATCAATACTTTTTTGATATCTGACAGAGTAAGAAGAAGCATCAAGACTTACCACTATGCAAGGAGGTTGCTACGGC